ATTATTTATTTTTATTACAAAAACGGTTCAATGTTTATTTCCATTGCGGAACATGGAATATTTAATTCAAACTTTGAGAGTACATTGGGATGTAAAACTCCCATTTTTCCTATAGCTTCACCATAACAGACAATTTCGGCACATCGTTGAGGAAAAAACATTGGGTCTGTAAAATATAAGTAATAAATTTTTTTGTCATTTTAATTCATAAATTTGATATTCTATTCTACAGTTATTTGATCAAAAGGATACATTCCGAACACCATGTATCTTACCATCAGCTGCACGCAGATAATATCCACTTTTATCTTTGTTAGCGCTCCAAGGTATCTCTAATAGTAATAGCACTCTGTCTACCAAACCATGAATTATCTCGAAACCAGACGATTTATTAGCATATACTGCGCATAAACGTCGATTGTTGCGCGCACCGACTTCCGCTGTGTTATCTCGTAATACAACGTCGGAAACTTCAAATAATTTATTAGGCAAAGGCATCCTTTTATTTGCCGATACTGTTTTAAGCAATCCCGGTAAAAGTGAGGTACGCGCAACCTGCAACAATTTATAGTTATTTTAAAAGCTGCTATTTACACATTTCAGTTCGGATGATATTACAATTGAAAATATTTTATACTTCAGCTCGTTTCAACGATTACAGTTGACCTTTTGTATTTTTTAAATATTTTCTTCTTATTACTCTTTTAACATCTCTTCCTATTTTTTAAAATATTTCCGGTTTACCTGAAACTCCAAAGTTTTTGGATTGGATATATGAACTGCTGGTACATCCTCTATCTTATATCCTAATTTGTCCGCTATATCTTCACGCGAACACTATAAAATAATTGAATGCAAATTTTAGAATGCACTAAATATAGTAAATATGATATATATTGTTAAGCATGAATAAACTTTTTCGAAACATACCAGTGAGAAAGTCAGTGCTTCGGTGAATCCCGCTTGGGCTAATTCTATCCGTATTTGGTCGGTAAGTTTGTTGAGTGGAAACTGCAATTCACATATATGTATGTATACAAGTTGTACATCGATACATGAAATCATATTCAGAGCTCATAGAATATTTACTTCTGCCGCGATTGTCGATATATTCGGTATAGTTTTTTCTATTTCGTTATATCCGTAAGCGATAGCGATATCTTCATAAATATCGCAAGGATGTATCACATCTTGTCTTGTTGGTGGAATTTCTACTATTAATGTATCCTTATCTTTTATCTCGGATTTTAGAGACATTTTTGACAACAACTCTGAAACTTGATCTGGAGTCTGCCTAGAGAGAGAGAGAGAGAGAGAGAGAGAGAAAGGGGGGGGGGGGGGGGGGGGGAGAGGGAGAGAATGTTTTTAAATAAATATATAGTTATGTCTGTAATCATTATTACACGTGCGACGCAAGATTTAATTACGTACTTAATACCAATGTAACTAATCGCTTTATTGTAGTTGATTTCTTCTGTTCGATACTTTAATTCTGGATAACAGAAAGTTTGATTATCGGGATATACTACTTCCACATTTTCGGCTGTATATTTCATATTGCAATACTGACTGAAAGCACAGACTATTGTGTCCAACACTATCCTTGCCTGCAGATAATGTATAATAATTTGTAAGAATTTGTAATAAAATTATATGTAATATTTCATATATTAATAACATTAATTATTGACATCTTATATTTTTTAAGTATTACTTTTAAATATTATTTGTGCGCAAGCAGAAATATACATAGATTAGCATTATGTAACATACAAATGTGGAGGAAAGTGGGAGAACTGTGCGCAGCAGATAATTGTGCGCATCCTGGTTTAGTACTTTTCCAATAGATGAAGACATTACCGTGGTGAAATTTTTACGCAGGAGGTCGTTCTCTTAAGATATAATTATAAAAGGTACAACGTAAATACGTTGCTAACTAGAGAAATACAAAAAAGTGAAATCATATCTTTTTTTGTTATTTTAGCATTCAGAAAATAAGGTGGTGGGTCCATATTTTTTATTTGTTAATAAGTTTGGTTAGGAAATGTTGAAGTAATCATATTTCATATCGAGTCAGGTCGCGGCGGGCAACTGTGCGCAAGCATTTTGAAATGCGCACAATTATCCATCTTTCATATACTATATAATTAGCATTAATTTTTTCGTTTCTTCTTTGCATTATTATTTTATTTTGCCATTTTATTTTGCCAAAGTCTATGTGCATTATTATTATATTAGTTTTGTATTTTTGCTTAATATATATATATATACATGTATTTATATTATATTCATTAGCATATCTTTTTTGCTTTGCGCTATTTACCCAACCCATGCGCACAATTACCCGACACGCGAGAAATTTTTTCGCTTTTCCGTTTTTTCCTTTTTGCCAAATACAATCTTATTGAATAAAAATCTATTCAATATGAGGATACGTAATGGTAGAAGGATGTTTATAGTATCTATTTCTATATTTATATCGCTTTAAATTTGGAAAACCGTTCCAAGATAATAAATTTCCTTTAGATGCGCACAATTCACCCACTTTCCCCTACATACCTTTGTAAGATCAGTTGCTGTACATTCAATAAAAATATTTTTTGTATCAAGTGTGATCTTTGAGTGATCCCCATTGATAATAGGAGGAAGAGATAAAACAACACCATTACTATCATACACCACGGGATAAACAGGACTGTCTTTTATAATGGGTAAATATTGCTTGAGCTGCGGGTGTGTCTGTAAACGTTAAAAATATAATACAACAAATATATATATATAGGTATGAGGTTTCTTTCTTTATATGTGAAATTATTTACGGAATTAACAAACATGGATGAGAACGACTGCATACTTACTGCGTACAATTGCATGATTTCTTCTCCTGTATATTTTTTATCTTGATAAAGCGGTTTGAAACTTATCTTTGATGGTGATCTAGCATCATATAGAAACGGGCCTTTAACTGTATCAAAGTCATGAGTGCCAATAGAAACTAGACTACGTTTTCTTCCTATATTCTGATGCAGTTTATCTTGGAGATCGATAAAATTATTATAAGATTCTTGCGTCAAAGTAACATCTCTCAAAATTGCGGCAACTATATGTCCTCTTACTTTTAAGCACTAAAGAATAACGAGATAGATAACTTAGTATAATGAATAAGTGCATGTATAATGTAAAATTTTCTTTTCATAAATATTATATACTACCTCTGGGTTCATCACTATCCTTTCCATTCCTGTATTTGGTTTTATTGCCTTGTAACGTGGTATGGATATCCTATTTAAGAAAACAAAACTTATACATTGGAATATAATACTTGAGAAATGAAATTCTTGCTATTTCAACTACAAAAGCATATAGTGTAATATTTACTTGTTCAAGAATATAAGCAATCCAGTAGTTAGGCTTTCCAAGCACAAAAGATCATATCTGTTAGCAGGTATATCAATTTTATAGATAATCTCTTCAGAGGCATCTATTGTACTTTGGTCAAAACCTTGTTCCTTTGCTAACATTTGTTTCTCCGTTGTCTATTTGCAAAAGATCAAGTAATGATCATAAAGTAAAATATACAAATTATTAGACAGTTCGATACTTACCACTTCATCTAACTCTAAACCAAATTTAAAGCATAACGTTTGGAACTCATCGTCAGCTAAAGCACACAGGGTTTAAAAGTTTAAAATTAAGATTAAAATATTTATAATACATAAACTAACTTTACTGATACTATGATAATATCATTATCAGTAAAAACATATATATATATATAACTTACAATATATTTGGCCTAATACTTCAAATAGTAAGTCACGTTTTATTCCAATAGTTGGCATCTTTATATTACAACAATCTCAGGGCAAACAAGTAAGCTTTCAGTATCTTGGTATTTTTTTTTCACAGTAATATCTCAGGATAATTAAGTCACCTATAATTAAAAGTTACAATTAACTTTTAGGTTAGATAATATCACCAAAACAAATTTCCATCAGATTAATTTATTCCGAAATCAATTAGCATATCTTTTTTGGTTTGACTTAATAATCCTGTTTACAACAAATTGCTTTAATTGCATTGAGAAGTTATCGCATAGATCAAAATGACTATGTGTAGTCTTACCGGTTATGTTACATCAGCAGACACAAGTTGTCAATGTTGAAATTGTTGGAAATGCAAAGAGGCATATGTAAAATCCGCATGGGTTTACAGCAATAAACAATCGACATGTAAGAGAAATAATATCTGATATAGATTTATTCATTGGCTAACATATCTCGTTTACGCTTTTATTTTCTCTTGAAGAAAACATATTTATCTTGCGAAAAATGTAAGAAAAATTAGTTTCCGCAGTTTGCCGTTATAGGTTAGCTTGTGCGAAGGTCACGGAGTTCACTGCGCAATGCGCATTAGAAATTGATTGGTTCTCGGACAAGAGCTTCTTTTTTAATTTAAATGACACACGCACGCACGCACGCACGCGTAAAGATCACAGTTTTTATTACATAAAAAATTATGACACAAAAATTATAACGCAAGTTAAAAAGTATATAGAATTCGTATATAGCTATACATATATTATTTATTTCATTTTTATTAACAACTGCAGTACTTTTGTATCACAGTATATATAAAAGTTAAATTAAATATATACCTTATCATATACGAAAGGAAAGAAAAGAATGCTTTACATACAAAGGTGTTAAAAACTATTAAATCTATCGCCTTGAAATTTGTAAACAATGCACTGTTATTTTTGTCGAAATACAGACAGTATTAATGTTTGTTTATTCAAAAATATTCAGCTTCGTATGTCTGACAAAAGCATAAATAATATTTAATTTGACTGAAATTCTTTTTTATTCATACCTATATAAATATCTTGCTTGAAGTATATAGTGACATACCTCAGAAAAATATCTAATGTAGTTAAATCTCTCTCTCTCTCACACACACACACACACACACACACACACACACACACACACACAATACGCGTGCGCGCGCGCATGTGTGTGTATATTATGAGTGTATGTATTATAAAGTTTACCTAGATGTTAGACGGATGTCAAAGAATCTTTTTCCATAATACTTGTTACAAAACTTCCATTATTACAAGTTAGTTGAAAATAACTTGTACTTCCAGCATAAACAACCATCACATCAAACAGTTGCAGAAGAAATGGAAAATCTTTTACAGATATCGACAGTTGCTCATTTCAATTGATTAATGAGCTGATCATTCTAAAATATGAATTATATATATTAGAGCAAGAAGATTAAAGCTGTACTAAATAAAGGTCATAGATGCAAGACATCAAAGTGAGTGAGTGAGCGAGCAAGTGAGTGAAAGAGAGAACTTACCCATACAGGTAATAAAAAAATGACAAAAGGTAAAAGGCTAGTTTAATCCATCCTTCTCTATGGTACATGGACAAGTCATAAGCATTCATTATGCTTGTAGGATCATATAGACCCGATTCAGTCATCAGAGGCCTGTTCATGTATCGCCACACATGATAAGCTATGAGCGGGATGTTGATAAATAGTGAAAAGTATTGCTCGCTAATCAAAAATAAAAGATTGATCACCACGTGTAGTATATACTCTGGTAGAACAAGCTGAAATCAAGATGTGTAATGATTAAAGAATTATCTGTGACAAGTAATGTCTTTGTAAACAAAACATTAGCAGCACACTATAGTAGTAGTTTGCCAACAGATTTGTACAAAATATTAGCATTAATTGCATCTAATTTAAATCCATCGAAGAAGTATGTCAATATAGTAAAAAGACTGAAATCGATCAGGTAACAATCATTTAATTGGAATATATTACTCAAATGATTACAAAATGCACATTTTGCTAAGGATCTATAATTAATTTGCTGCTCCTGCCAATAAATTCTGTTTCTGCTGGCATTCTGCTGATGAAATTTATAGTAGACGCTGCAAAATGGATCTTTTGACAAATTTGGCTATCTGGATGTATTATTTGAAACCCAGTAAACGCATACACATATCTTACCGGATTTAAGTTATTACATTGATCGATTGGATTTTTGTATCCAGTCTTTAACTCGTCGAATGTGATTACCTGAAAAGTTTAATAAAAATTATTAATCACACATAATACATTATCATTGCACATATATTGCACATATATTCGTTAAGGTTATATCACAATTATGTATATCAGCATGTCTCGCGGATTTCACTACCGTGAATTACCGCGCGAACATTTCCTATGGGAGACATACGTGAAATATTGCGAAAAATATTAGAAACGCATCGCCGATTAACGCCACAATATATGAAAAAGCGGCTAGGTTGAACGCCATTCTGCACGTACGGACAAAAGCCCACCACGAACGAATCGCGACAAGTCCGGAATCCGGATATCAAGTTGATCACGTGATAAGCTCGCATTATCTGATACAAAAATACGAAAATAAAAATACGCAACTTTTTATTCGCATTCTGTCGTTATCGATTAAATTTCAATTGACAACTCAAACTATAGATTACATTTCATAATGCTAGCTTTTTTTTTCCTACGTCTATGCTTGGATAGATTTAATGTCATTCCAAACAGCCAATTTCAAAACTTATCTCCTAACATAGTTTTTTATAATTATTTTAATTGACTGGTAAAATGTTTGTAGAAATATAAAATTTTACCGATAAAATATGGCAAATTGACTGCGAAAATTGCGAACACAAGTTATACAATATATTATTTTTCAAATATTTACATGGAACGAATCATTCGATGATTTCTGCTTCTTGATTTTTCAACTGGTGGAACATGATCTTTTAGTTCTATTCAAATCTGACAACTGTTGTCATGCTGCTAACATTTTATTTACTAGGAACTTTTCCAAAAAGAATAGATTTTTCAATTTACAAATTATCTTTTTTATTTGGAAATATATAGGGATATCCTATATATTGTGTGTGGACTTTGACATGCTCAATAAAATATCTATTTTATTGCTTATCTCTATCAACAATACAAAGCGTATTTACAATTAATCAGTTGTGAATAATATTACAATACGTAATCAATAAACAATAAATTCTTTTTTAAAATCTACCTCTTGATTTTGCTGTACAAATTTTTAAAATGGAGGTTACATGCGTTTCTATAAATATAATTTTTAAACAGTCCTAGTGAGATCTGAATTCACATAAGTATGATTAAGCAAATGCTGAGACTCCACTCTAGTGTTCGCTCCCCCTTGATCGTCCCATCTTGAATTATAACTCAAAAGCATTTCTCTTTTGGGCTTCAACATGTGCCTGATATTCCCATAATGTATATCTATTTCTTTAAAAGCGTTCAATAAGAATATGGCAATTATAACTATGAGAAAGCCGCAAGAGGCACCTAGGATATTTTCCATGCTCATCTTTGTCCATTCCCTGAATAAAATCGCGGATGCTATTATCACTAGAGTTGTAAAGAAAACGTAATAAACTGGTGTCACGATAGATGTGTCGAACAAGTCCAGTGATTTATTCAGATAATTCATCTGTATCATGATGCAGAGGATAACACTAAATATAAAGACCCATGTTAGCCAATTGGCAAATGCGTTCTTCCCACCAGAGATAGTCTCCTTCAATGCCAAGCCCAAGCCTTTGCAACTCATGACGGTCAAAGAGCCAACAGATGAGCACAAACAAATATATATTAAGATATTTTGCTTGCCATATGCTGGACCAAAGTGGAAGATAATGGACAAGGTAGACATTACTACGATTAAAACATACAACATATAACCCGGTTCTCTTATTTTAATAACCAGTTCGCTTAGATTGCTGATCTCCTCTTCTTTCGGTGAATGTAATATTATTACTATGGAACCTAAAATACATAACAAGCAACCCATCTAAAAAAGAAAAAAAAACAATACAAATGCAGCATCTGTATATAGAAAATAGGTATATACTATTATTTTCAACATTAATGTTTCTGCCAGTGTGTACAAAATTTTTTCACCTTTCCCAAAAGATTTAGTTTTTCATTAAGATATCTGGATGCTAATACCGCTGATACTAGAACGCTTAAAGCTCCCAATGGTGTTACAAGCGACGCTGGTGCAAATGCATATGCAACAAAGTTTGCTGCTTCTCCTATGCCCACTGTAACGTTTATTTTGAATGTTTTTACGTGAATGTCATAAAAAATTGTGCCTAGAACGTCTTTTGAAATTTATACATACTAGACAAAAGACCAGCCCACCACATCCATTCTTTTAAATAGCCAAAACCACCAGATGATGCACGCAGTCCACCGTACTTTTGGAGTTGGATTAAAGCCTTTTTTTTTATGATAAAACTGGCACCTAAATTAAAATAACAAAGAAATAATTAATTTTTGTACATCTTTTTAATATTTGGCTTTTTTTCTACAAAAGAAGGTAATTTAACCTGGTACGGATTAAGTGTAAAATATTGATTCTTGATATAAAATTCTGACTGAATTACATATTATATCACCAACCTATAAAAACACTAGAAGCAATTGCTAGTCCTAAACCGATATAAAAATTTGTCGTATTGTAATGTGTATCATCGTTGGTCATTTCTGGGACAGAACTCATGTCTCACTCTATCAAATCGATATTGATTTCCATTCAGTTATTTATATCATTTTTAGCCGATTACATTCGGCAAAGTATCAAAATGACTACAAAATTGTTCACATATTCTGATATGCATGTATATGCATATAAATACATTTTCTAATGTCTTCTTATTACCAGTGGCTGCGTTCAGCAGAACGTTTATTTTGCAACTGTTGGAAGTTTCCTTCGCGCTAATTAGATCATACTTTTAGATCTAGAAGAATGGTCCTATCTCAGCAGACAATCATAAAACGGTTGTAAAACTGTTGAGTCTGCTGAACGCAGCCAGTGACTATTTCCTCCTCCTCCTCTGGCTTCCCTTTGATTGGTTTTCCGACTCAACCATAGAGTCACAGTACCATGCAGAAATACCGGATCTCTCGACTAATGAATAGTCTCCTCGGGGAGCAGAGACCTCACTTTGGTTTTAGATAAACTCTTAATTTGAGGTTATATTGGAGATCTTGTCAATGCTTTGAATCCACAAAGCTAAAAGATTCCATGGTCCCAATGCTGGGATGCTTGAATAATCCAAATCCTTATTAGATTTCCATAGATCAATCAATAATTCTTTGTCTGAGGTACGCAATATATGCGTGAGCAAGTTTCTCCAACTGCGCAGTTTTATGGTTGAAACACGCAATGAACACGTGATTACTAATCAGTAATTTTCTTCTTATTGATTTCATTTCAGTGGATTTTCAACGAAGTTGATTAATAAGATGTCACATGATTTGCTAACACAATTAGATATGAATCCGTTTATAAAAAGGATTCCGTAAAGTGTATAAATAACAGACACTCAATATTATTAATACGGAGATCCTTCTCCTTTGAGTGCCCGGAACGGATTACGGAATCCTCCAGCACAGTATATACAGTAGCGCAACTCTTCTGATTTTATGTTGGCAAAAATGGAGTGCGCATGCGCGAAATCAGTAAGTTCCCCAGTAACTCCATCTAAACTTCTATCTCACTTCTTCCTTTTTCTGTTCTCTCTGTCAGGGCCATTTAAATGTTTTCGTTTATGTACCTATGACAGTTTATATTCGGAAAGCTCCAATTTGGAGGAATTGTGTGTTAGAATATTATTTTATAATATACATAATATTGAAAAAACTTTCGTTTTCTGAATTATTGTTATATTAAGTTTAAAATTTCTTTTATCTCATTTTTAGTTGATTATTTTTATTCTAGATGCACACACACACACACACACACACACACACACACACACACATAAAAATTATTATATTTAATTTAATAAAATTATTATTAGATACTTTTTATAATTACAACAATTATAGTAATTGTTTTCTGAAACGAAATCTGTATAACATTAAATTTTACCTTTTATTGTTTATATTAATATTTTAAACATGCGGAACATGATGCTTGTATTTTTCTGTTGAATTGCTTACATTTGAGCTAGAAAATCTGCATTAATTCTGCATGGTACAATTCTAATAATTTTAAAAAACGCAAGCAATTTAGCAGGAAAACAAGCATCGTGTACCGATCATTAATTATATTTTTACAGTTTAATATTTATACCATACTTATATAATTTAATATTTTCTTATTTTTGTGTCTTTTTTTTTATTTTGCAATACATTACAATTATTAATGTATTTCTTTTAGTTTTTTACATTTAATTAATTTGCTGTACATACAAATGAACTAGAGCAGCTAGAAAGAAAGAGAGAGAAAAAGGAAACTAAAGAGCAAGTGAGATAGAAATTTAGATGGCGTTACTGGGGAACTTACTGATTTTGCGCATGCGCACTCCATTTTTGCCAACACTAACATCAAAGGTGCCGACAGAGAGTTGCGCTACTGTATATACTGTACCTCCAGTGACTACTTTTTCTTCTTGATTGGCCACAGAATATATATAAAGAGAAGTGCAAGCTCAGTGTTAAATAAAAGGAGACAAAGTCGATCGTCACGCTCGCGGTGGTTAGGACATGAATTATTAAATACTATATAAGGGACTGTGCACAATCAAAGGAATAAGAAGCAGAAAAAAGAATAAGAATTTCAACTTATCACAAATCATGTATTACATACTATAAAATACATAGTTTCTGATAGGTTAAATTCTTATTCTGTTTCCTGTTCCTTATTCCTTTGATTGT